CCATGAGTCCATCTTGAGTTCGAATTTACTAAAATGAAAATTTCAAACTCAAGAAAAGGGAAATGAGGAAGGAGGAAGGAGGAGGGTGGAGAGTAGAGAGAAAAATGAGAAAGGGAAAGAATGATGCCGCTGGTATTGGTGTTGATGTCGGTGCTGGAGAACAGGAAAAGGAACAAAAATGGCAAAAAGGAATGGGGGTTGAAGATGGGGGTTGAAGGTAAGGGAAAGGTCAATATTAAGATTAGCAAAGCATCATTTTTTTTTCCACGTAGTTTTTCTGAAATAAAAGGATTAATTCATGGCAAGTTAATGTGCCAGCTGGGCACTTCTGTGACGGAAGGACCATTTGGGTTCCAAATAAATAAGGTTAAAGGACAACTTGAGTGCTTTCATTTGTTAAAGGATGAACAAAGTTCTCAAATGAAAGTTTAAGGACCAAATTGGGTATTAAACCAAAAAAAAAAAAAAGGAAGAAGAAGTCAGCACTAACAGAATTATACTTAACTTTTTGGGCTTTTTGTCACAGATGAATTTGAAAGGCAAAACGATGTGGGCTCTGCTCACTTTCAGGTTGCACTTCCTTAAGGAGCCCTGTTACTGAGGTCAGTCTAATTGGGCTTAATAGTCGAGCCCATGCTCACCAGAGAAAAAAACTAAAAAGACCCGGGAAGAAAGCTTCGCTCTTTTTCACGTCACTTCCAACATTTCCTCTGGAAAGCAATAGTTTTGTTCTGTGAGCTCCACTCCATACTGGAACAGGGTTGGTGGTCTTCACCCAGAGAGTGGGCTATACCAGCCTGCCAATACATTCTGCCTAAGTGGGCCTGGAAATTCGTTCGTAATTATAACTACAAAATCGAAAGAATCAGAAAGACCCAACTTTTTTTTTCTATGAGCTTCTGTGCTGTTCGATTATAAGTAACATAATGCCCGTACTTACAAAACTTTCTTGTACATATTGTGTGTGATTTATTTTGTTATAATTTTTTTTATTTTTTATATATTTAAATTTATTTTTTTTGTTTTTAAAAAGTATTATTATTATTATATATTAAGTATAATAAATATATGTAAATTTTTAATTATATAAATATATTATAGATCAGTTAAATAAATTAATTAAATAAATTAAATAAATAATTTTAAATCTTATATTTATTATTAATTTAATATTTATAAATATATTATTTTTATACTTATTATTTATCTAATCTTTTTTACTATTCAAATCTAATACCTTTTTTTGCACGAAGGGAATTGAGGAATAGGGGGAGGGAGAAAAGAGTCAAGGAGATTTAAACTTCGGTAGAGTAGGTGAATGAGTAATGATAGGAGAACAATTTTGGGGCGAAAATGGAGGATGACAAGTGAAGTAAGGTCAAATTATAAAATATAAAATTATTAATTTGATCCTGCCTCATTTGTCGTTCTCCGTTTTTGTTTCTTAAAATCATTTCCATATCGTTACTCTGAGTGAACTACTTATTTAATGACTACACGAACCAAATATCAAATTTTTATTAAAATATAATACTTATTCGAATAAGAAAAACATTTATATATGATGATGTATCTATACCAAATACTCACCCGATTACTCCTTGTTCAGCAAGAAACTTGCTTCTTGGTTTTTGAGCTTTGATCCATTTATGTGGTGAGCCTGAATGGTGGCCTCTTGCAGTGCAATGTCCAGGATTGATTAAAAAATTTTCCTGAAGGGATTGAATGACATAGTTATGAAAAATAAAGGACTGAAAATTTTCATAAATTTTTCTTTTTGTGCTTTCTCATGCATAAACGACGTCGCTTAGATCTTCCCCTCCGGAGGCGAAGCCTTTCCAACGTGAGTATAGGCTCTCTGTAACTGTTAACGTGTAACCGCCCTTCATTTCATGACTCAACGATCTGAATTCATACTCGGAGGAACTCAACCATGATGCTGGATCTGGGATCGTTCTCCGACGAGAAATTCGATCCTAAGAAATGGATAAACTCAGAGTGTAAGAGCCGCCACCCGCAGGACTCGCTGGACAAGCACATGGTGGATCTCGAAATGAAGCTTCAGATGGTCTCCGAAGAGATTGCCGCCTCTCTCGAGGAGCAGAGCGCTTCCGCCCTTCTCCGTGTCCCTCGTGCCACCCGTGACGTCCTCCGCCTCCGTGATGACGCCGTTTCCCTCCGCAATTCCGTTGCTGGAATCCTCGACAAGCTCAAGAAGGTCTGTTGTTCTTATTATCTTTCCTTCTGTTAGAGATCTTATGTCAATTTCGTGTTGCTTGGATCTTGAGAAAGTGCAGGAGAGTTGAAATTCGTTTAACTCAGTAGTGTCTAAATTGGAAACCGAATAATGAAGATTTGGTTCCAAAACCTTTTAATTATTGGAAATGTGCTTAATGCAGCTGAATTTTGAAATTGCAGGCGGAAGGATCCTCAGCTGAATCTATAGCTGCCCTTGCTAAAGTTGACACAGTCAAGCAGAGAATGGAAGCTGCATATGAAACATTGCAGGTAATTATCACCATCATCAGTTATCCTGATCTCTTTTTGGAGGGATTTTGAGTTCATATAAGATTTTCTATCATTGTTCTTGAGTTGTTAATGCATGGTTCTCTGGTTTACATCTATTGAACAGGATGCTGCAGGGTTAACACAATTGAGTGCAACAGTGGAGGATGTGTTTGCTAGTGGTGATCTTCCTCGGGCTGCAGAAACCTTGGCCAACATGAGGCATTGCTTGTCTGCTGTTGGGGAGGTAATATCTTTCAATGATTGCTGCCATGTAAGGTTTGAGGTTTTTCAGACGTGTGGTTAACTGGTCTGATTTTACTCTCTTAATCATCATTTTTAGGTTGCTGAATTTGCGAATATTAGGAAGCAACTTGAAGTCTTAGAGGATAGGCTAGACACCATGGTGCAGCCCCGTCTCTCAGATGCATTATCCACTGGCAAGGTTACTATTTTGTCTTCAGATCTATATCTTGTTCTCTATGGATTGCCCTTTTCTACTTGCATTACCAATTTACCATCAACCTTATTTTTATAGACAGCATTTTACATTTTTGCCAATCAATGCCTTGCAGATTGATGTTGCTCAAGACTTGAGGGGAATTCTCATTAGAATTGGAAGATTCAAGTCTCTTGAGCTGCATTATACGAAAGTGCACCTTAAAACAATAAAGCAGCTTTGGGATGATTTTGACTTAAAGCAAAGGGCTAGTAAGATTGCAAATGAGAAGATTGAAGCTGAAAGGCTGACAAGTACCAATGAACTACATCCAACTATGCCTACAGTTTCATTCTCTAGTTGGTTGCCAAGTTTCTATGATGAATTACTACTCTATCTTGAACAAGAATGGAAATGGTAATGTTTCAATGCCCAAAATTCCCAGAATTGATATTCAAATTTAAAGAAAGGTTTTATATGAATATTATGCTATTGTTTCTAGAAAATACATGCTTATATTAGATCAATTAGTAATGTAGTCATTGACCTTGCATCTGCTGCTTTTCCCCCTTGTAGAGAGATTCAAACGGTGGTTTTGTTGTTTTGGTGTTTTAGACTTGTTTATAGAATATTTTTATTTCATATTTTCTCTTTAGAGATAAGGGTTTACCATTAGAAAATGAAGTTATATTGTCTACCAATCTCAATTTATGTTCTTGCTTTATTTTATTAGAAAGTTGTCAACTATTACATGTCCTCAGATTTGTTGGAGAGGATTTTTTGTTTACTGCATTTTTGTGATATTATTTGGCAAAAAAAGTCTGTTGTTGGTTTTCAATGGTGCACTATTCATTTGAGGGAAGAAGGGTTTTTAATGAGGGGAAAAAAATTTTGAGCTAAATTCATTGCTTCCCAATCTGGCTTTAAATAGGAGATTAGATTGAACCACTCTGAAATTTTGGAAATTGGTGTTCTTTCTGATTATTAGGGAAAAATGAAAATGGGTATTATTGGCTAAGCTGTTTGCAGGTGCATGATTGCTTTTCCTGATGACTACAAGGCATTGGTCCCGAAGCTACTAATTGAGACCATGGTGGCTGTGGGGTCAAGTTTTGTTTCCCGTATCAACCTTGCTGCTGGAGAGGTTGTTCCTGAAACAAAAGCTCTGGCTAAAGGTCATATTTTGATATCTTCTGTTGTGTTCCTGCTTTGCTATAGTGACCTTGCTTTTAGTTTTGTAACTTCTTCCATACCTAACTGGACGTTTTTTTGCATATGATGTGGTTGGTGTCTGATATTTAGTTAAGAATTAGCTTTTGATTATTGCATTCTTATAATCCTCATTGATGACTTCAGGTATATTAGATATTTTATCTGGAGATCTGCCAAAGGGTATTAAGATTCAGACTAGGCATCTGGATGCTCTGATTGAGTTACATAATATGACGGGAACATTTGCGAGAAATATTCAGCACTTATTTTCAGAATCTGATGTCGGAGTTTTGATGGATACACTAAAGGCCGTATATTTTCCCTATGAATCATTTAAACAGAGGTATACTGTTATGAGAATGATGGGATGTTTTATTATTCTGTCACCTTAGTCTACAGAGTCTTTAGATCCACCAGCTTTCTAGTTAAGCAATGTTTTGTCTCCTGGTCAAATCTATCAGAGTCTAATATTCTGACCACTAGAGTCTTGTTTAGTGTAAACCCAGCTTATTAAAAAGGAAATTATCAAATTAAATAAGTTGGTACTTTCATCACTCTGCTCATGATTTGAGTTAAGATCTGTTTGCCTTTTATGAACTCCCTTATAAGAATAGGTAAATGACAGCAATATTTGGCTTATGCTCATTGCATTTCTTGGTCTTGCAATTTTTATCTCCATCCTTTACTAGTTGGATCATACACTGGTATTGTTACATAATTAACTAACTAATGATTGATTGTGTTCAAGGTATGGGCAGATGGAGCGGGCCATACTTTCCTCTGAGATTGCTGGGGTTGATCTTAGGGGAGCTGTCACTCGTAGCGTGGGAGCCCAGGGAATTGAACTTAGTGAGACAGTTCGTAGAATGGAAGAATCTATTCCTCAAGTTATCTTACTTCTTGAAGCTGCTATAGAGAGGTGCATCAGCTTTACTGGTGGTTCGGAGGCAGATGAACTAATTCTTGCACTCGATGACATAATGTTACACTACATTTCTGCCCTCCAAGAAACCCTTAAATCACTAAGAACTGTATGTGGAGTGGATCATATTGGTGATGGTTCAAGAAAGGAGCTAGGTCCAGAAAAGAGAGAAGGGACTCAAAATGCACGCAGAGTTGACTTGATCTCTAATGAGGAGGAGTGGTCCATTGTCCAGGGGGCCTTGCAGATACTCACGGTTGCAGATTGCCTAACAAGCAGGTCCTCTGTCTTTGAAGCTTCCTTGAGAGCTACTCTGGCTAGACTGAGCACTAGCTTATCCCTTTCAGTATGTGGTTCGAGTTTGGATCAAAAGCAGTCACATATCACAAATGATGATGGAAATGTGGAACTATCTGTGGGCAGAAGGGCTGCATTGGATGTGGCAGCTGTGAGGCTTGCTGATATTCCGGAGAAGGCTCGGAAGCTCTTTAACCTTTTAGAACAGGTAAATGACTCATATTTGTTCACCATCATCTTTCTTCTGGGTTGCTCCTGTTCTTTTTATTTTTCTTTAAACCTGTCCAGGGGAAGATATTCGATTAAAATGTAAAGTTTAAAATACGGTAGCTTTTAGTCTTAACATGTCTTGTTATCTGGTGTGTTTGCTGACAAAGAAAGCTATAACTTTTGAAAACTTGGTTTTTATTCATGATGGAAGATTTTATTACATATTTTGTTGTTGCTGTGCAGTCTAAAGATCCCCGGTTTCATGCACTTCCACTTGCATCCCAGAGGGTAGCAGCATTTGCTGAAACTGTTAATGAACTTGTCTACGATGTCCTCATATCTAAAGTAAGGCAACGTCTCAGTGATGTGTCTCGCCTGCCTATTTGGTCTGCTGTAGAAGAACAGGATGCTTTTCATCTGCCAACCTTTAGTGCGTACCCTCAATCCTATGTGACTAGTGTTGGTGAATATCTTCTTACTTTGCCTCAACAGTTGGAGCCACTGGCTGAGGGTATTTCAAACAATGATACCAACAATGATGAAGCTCAGTTCTTTGCAACTGAATGGATGTTCAAGGTAACAATCTGTACCGTATGGTCATGTTCATCCTTTTGACTTCCATGGTTGCAAGTGTGGGTAGCTTTTCAGACTAAATTCTGGTGCTTTGCTCACAGTTTAACTGACACATTCACTTTCCCTTTCTGCTTTCCCCCCTTTTAATGTTGGAAAGGTTGCTGAAGGTGCCACGGCCCTGTACATGGAGCAGCTCCGTGGGATTCAGTACATAACAGATCGGGGTGCACAGCAGCTCTCAGTTGATATTGAGTACTTAAGTAATGTGCTTTCTGCTCTTTCGATGCCAGTCCCTCCTGTTCTTGCCACATTTCAAACTTGCTTTGCAACCCCTAGAGATCAACTGAAGGATTTGCTGAAATCTGATTCAGAAAACCAGCTAGATCTGCCAACCGCAAACCTTGTGTGTAAGATCCGGCGTGTGAATTTAGATTAGTAATTTTCCCTCATAACATAACATTTTTGTTGGTATAAAGAAAATATAAATTGGTACATATATATTCCAGCATGCTTTAAAAAGATGGTTATAGCCCAGGTCTCTTATTTTTGTTTCTTGTAAAATTTCTTGTGGCTGCTGTTCTTCCTTCCAAATGTTAGGCGCCCAGAAGGAAATTCTGGAGGATATGGCACAAGTTGTTCGGCTGCTTGAAAATGATCAGAACTAGTGTCATCGCAAAATGCTAAAAAATAGGGTTAACTCAAGATGATCATTAATGAGTAACGCATAGTTAGAGTGTGATGACAGATGGAGGGGGTGATTAAAGCCATTGTACCTATATCATTTTTGTACTAAAAATTTAGAGAAAGATCACCTTAAAACAATAATGTTTTGGATTCTTTAGAATACTTGTTGTTTTAAGTTTTTTTTTTTTTTTTTGGTTTCTTTAAAAATTTAGAAAAAAATTTTTTTTTTTTGGTATTAATGGTTGAATTGATTTTTATCAATTTTTATGTATCTTTAAGATAAATGTTTTTGGGAGATCTCAAAAGGACATCTCCCAAAAATATAATGTATTTAAATAAATAAATTAATTTTTTTTAAAATATTGACTCAAGATTTTAAACCTGATTTATGAAATAATATTTATTATTAGTAAATCTAATTTGGTTAAAAATTTAGAAATTTTGGAATGAAATAAAGAATTTCAAAAAAGCAATTATGATTAAAATTTTTAGTATTTTTTAAAAATTTTATATCCAATAAATAACAATTTTAATTGTTAGATTATGCTTTTAATTTTAAATCTTCATTGTTTAAATTTTAAAAATTCAAATAAAAATCTATAACCTTATTAAATAGAATCTAAATAGATTATTTTTACAAAAATATAAAAATAATTTAATTTATAATTTAAAAAAAAAGTCATTTTAATCAATTTTTTTGATAAAATTTTATTAAATCCATGTAGTTTCCTTTTAATATTCCGATTTTATTTCGGCACGAAAGCTGGATTTGTTTGCTTGTGCTCGTCAGAGATGTCGTTTTGACAAAAAGGAACGCCGTTTACCGTCTCTCCTTCGCTGCCCCATTGCCAGATAAAAGCACCTATCAGGAACTCCCACCCTAAATCCCTAATCACCACAAATCCACTTCAGCTCTCACCATTCCTTGCAGTTTCTGAGGTTCTTAGTTCTGCAAAATCTTCAGCTTTCTCTTCTGTTATTCCAGCGCAAAGAATGGATGCTCAGCGAGCTCTGCTAGACGAACTCATGGGGGCGGGTAACGGAAATTGTTATCATTCTTCAAGATTGGATTTTGTACTCATCGGGGTCTGTTTTGGGTTTATTGGATGAATTTTTTTGATGGGTTTTCTTTCTGAATTGTTTAGCTCGTAATTTGACGGAGGAAGAGAAGAAGGGGTATAAAGAAATAAAATGGGATGATAAGGAGGTTTGTGGATTCTATATGGTTCGATTCTGTCCTCATGACCTCTTTGTCAACACTCGCAGCGATCTGGGTATGTAGTTTGAATTTTGATTCACTCAACAGTTCTTGTTTGTTTGGTTGCTCAGAAAAAGAAGGAAAAAAGCTGAATTTAGAGGACTTTCTAGTTGCATGTAGCTGATTATCAGTGTGCATGATTGAAATCTGTAAATCTTAAAAGGTTTTTTAATTGCAAAAACTAATGAAGGATGTTATTTAGTATTTGGCTAGTCTAGGTTTTTTTAACATTAACTTTGGTTTTGTTTCTTGTGTTTCTCATCAGGAGCATGCCCTAGGATTCATGATCCTAAGCTGAAAGAAAGGTGTGATTGAATGATTATCCTTTTGGAGTCTTTATACTATACGAATTTCATTTTAGATGTGTCCTAATAAAATAGGACAATGCCCCCACACTGCTTTTCTAATTTGCCTTTGTTAGTCTTGTTGGTGCCTGTACTTTTAAATAAATGACTTGTTTTTATTATCAGAAAGTTATTGATCTTGAATCTGCCATATTAAGTTAGCTGCTTCATATGTCTGTGTAGGATGGAACTTAATTATGCATTACAAGCGGTATGCTAAGGTGTTGGTGGTTTTTCTTTTTGAGGTAACTGATCTAAACGTTTTGATCATATCCTTGTAAGGGGATATGAGAAATAATCAATACAAATTCATAATTGATGTCTCAATTAAGTTTAAACACGATGAGGAAAGACACTTATAGGAGCAAGACTGAGAAAAGTGCTGTTAAAAGCCTAATGATATCAATTGAGAAGAAATCATATTGATTTGTATTTCTTTAAGAGCCAAGCATCCAATTGGATCATTTGCTGAGGTAACTCATTCTAATTAGTTGGTATGCAGTTGATTCTTATTCCCAGTTTTCCTTTTAACAATCTTATGCCTCATCACATATTAGTGGAGGTGCAGTTTTATGTTTTATATTTTTTTTCCTTTTTTTTTTTTTTCATAATAAACAACAAATCTTCAATAACTTGTCTTCACGGTTCATCAAAATTAGTAGTGCTTTTCAAACATTTATTCCTTAAGTTAGCTCATCTTTTATGGGGTTTGCGATTGCTAGCTTTTGTTTGATCAATATCAAGGGGCTTCATTTAAAATTTGTTGGCAATAGAAAACAAGTTTGGGTAAATGAATGTGCAAGTGAAAGAAATGGGTGATATTAGGTAAGCACATGGTAGAGTTGCTCTGATGCTAAACCTTATGTTTTTATCTTCAGACAGTTTGTGGTTGCTTTCTTTGCTTAATGTGCTAAGAAGCTGTAATGTTTGTAATCCAGAATGGTATCTTGCCAATTTTATGCCATCTGATGCTGCTATCTTTGCTGTCCCTTTTGTTCATATCATGCTGGTTGCCTTTTTAAATGTTCTGTATGTAGTTTGATTTTTTATTTGCCACTCTTTCTATTTTGAAACAGTTTTTCTCTGTTTCATGTTGGTCTCTCTAAGTATTATTAATGAATTTTGTTGAAATATTTGTTGTTTTTCAATCCCTTATTCTTCTTCATATCTGCATGTGCATATGCATGTTTCTGTTGTCTCTGGTTCAATCCATGGTAAGTGCGGATAAGTTCAACCTGACCATCTTATTCAATCTTTTTCATGGGCCTTCTGGTGAATCTTTTTGTATTTTAGCTAGCTTGAAGTCTTTATATGGTGCCTAAAATTGTTTTACTTCAATTTTAAGTTGGAATTTGATAATTTTTTTAGTTTTGAGAAGTCCCCAAGACACGATGCTTATGTGCCCAAATTTGAAGCTGAACTGGCCCAGTTTTGTGAGAAATTGGTGGGTTCCATTGCTCATCCCACTTCTTTTATGTGCTTTTTATGAAAATCTGTAATTTTTTTCCCTGCAAGTCTATAACATGCTTGTTCTTGTAGGTGATGGACCTGGATAGAAGAGTTAGGCGTGGACGTGAACGTCTTGCACAAGACATAGAACCTGCACCTCCTGCACCATTATCAGCAGAAAAGTCTGAACAGTTATCTGTTTTGGAGGAAAAAATAAAGAACCTTCTAGAACAAGTCGAGGCCCTTGGTGAAGCTGGGAAGGTGGATGAAGCTGAAGCACTAATGAGAAAGGTGCTTCTGTTGTTTCTTTCTTGTTAATATATTTTTCTTTTGCCAAACCACTGCTCTCTTTGTGAGCCTAAAATTAATGAGGTACTGCCCACCAAATTTTGTTTTTTGGCCAATCCATTTGTTAAATTTGTAGAGGTGGTATATAGTTGTTGCAGAAACTCTGCTAATCCTCCCACTTTTAGTTTTGTATTCAATTTGAACTTTGCAGAATCTTCAATTATAAACAGATTCCAAACTTTAGTCCCTGCTCTTTGATCCATGAATTTGTAATCATGACAAATGCAGGTTTTTGAATCTTGACGGTCTGGTAAATTTTGTTTTTAGGTGGAGATGCTTAATATTGAAAAAGCAGCCCTAACTCAAAAACCCCAGACCCAGAGTGATAAAGCCTTGACACTTGCTCAGGAGAAAAAGATGGCCCTTTGTGAGGTTTGTGGTTCCTTTCTAGTTGCAAATGATGCTGCAGAGAGGACTCAATCTCATGTTACAGGAAAGCAACATATTGGTTATGGAATGGTTCGTGATTTTATTAGAGAGTATAAGGTAAGCTTTGTTTGCAAGAATGAATTATAACTATACTCTCATTTGGCCTTCTGATTTTATGAAATTGTTCCGATTTTTCCAGGCAGCTAAGGAGAAGGCAAGGGAAGAGGAAAACTTAGCTAGGGAGAAAGAAGCTGAAGAACGGAGGAAGCGGAGGGAGAAGGAATATGAGAGTAGGAGGCAAAGAAGTGATTCAAGTGACAGGGACAGGTACCGTGATCGAGACCGACATTCAGACCGTGATTTAGATCGTGAAAGGTCTCGAGAGAGGAATGGTAGACAGAGTCGAGACGGGGGAAGAGATCGGAGGTACAGGAATGGAAGGGATGAAGGCAGGGACAAGTACCGTGACCATAGCAGGTCACGTTCCCCTAGTAGACATGGTCGCATGAGATCCTCTAGAAGTCCAAATCGTCCGTAGTCGATTGAGTATATAAATTTCTGAGCTTTGAAATTAATTGAGGTAGACTTCCTACATCTCCTAGTTCCATGAATGAGTGCTTTCGGAGTCATGTTAAATTTTGCGATCATGGGTAAAACTTTTTCTTGGTATCTCACAGCATTGTTGATACCAACTCCCTTTGATCAAAATATTATTAGAGAGCAAAAGGATTGAGGTAGGTATAACAACGTTATTGTAACTCTCTTTATGCTGTTCGGAGTTTTGGACTGAATTTCTTTTGTGCGTATTTCTTGAATTATTTTTTTCAAGTTTCTTATCCCTTTGATTGATAAGCTGCCGCAAAGGATGATCTATTAGCAACTACGAGGTAACACTTGGATATTATGCATCACCAACATGCCAAATTTTCAATAATTTACTAACCTTTTTGTTTTTTTATTTAATTTTACGTTGTTTTTAGATCAGTTATTGTTTGCAAATGCTGTTTTTGTGGCATAATCCAGGGGGTATTCTAAGACACACCAACAAGGTAGTACTTACCTTTACCCTTATGTCCTACCATGGCAGCTTATTTCCCAGTACCGCAATACATTCATTACCTTGACAAGTATTTAGTTTGTGAGGATGGTAATTTGTGGTTCTGGTTCTGCCATTAGTGGTTATCATTGTTCTTGTAAATACTGTACTATATTTCTACTTGCAGTTTGTGTTTGAGGGCAGAATCGCTTGTGTAGTTGTGCTCTTTATTCTTCATAGAAACTTAGAAATTCATGATAAAGAAATGGAATCTCCATTTCCATAGTTTTTCCCACCCCTGCCTCCTCGGTCATTTTTATGATTATTCACATCAAGTATGACACCTTGATGAATTATGAATATATGCCAAGCGAGGGTTGTGTTCCATTGGCAAATTTAATCTGGGAATTCGGAACTATATTTTCTTTGATTGCTAATTTTTCTCAGGTCTCTTCTATGATCCATTTGACATATATTTATGCAAAATTTCAGTTATTTATTTATTTTATTTTTAATAATTGAGATATATTTATATTTATTAAAAATGATTTTTTTTTTCATTTAAAAAGTCGTGATAAATTTTAATTAATAAAAATAAATATAAATAGATGAAATTTTGTATAAATATGATGTGTAAGATTTTTATATAAATAAATTCTTTCTTTCGCATGATATATGCTGGTGTGGGTTTCCATCATCATTATACTCTACACTATGATATTTTAATGTGATTTTTCCATGTTTAGACGTTATGAAATACTTTAGTGATAATGTTATGTCTCTAATATTATGAAATATTACATATTTATAATTTATATTTATTATTATATAATTAGCTCATTATTAAATTTAGGATTAAATTTTTACCAAAAGATGAGTTTAAAAAGAAGTTTGGATGGCACCTGATCTTTCGGGTCACTTGGAAGGTGCAATCCTCCTTCTTTCTGGTGGGTTCGAAGTTCGAATCTTATCGTTGTCACTTTGTTCAAAAAAAAAGAAGAAGAAGAAGAAGTTCGGATGTCCAATTTTTATCATAGATAAACTGTACTTAAATGAGATATATATTATGTCTTATTCATTATATAGTTTAATTAGATGCCATGATATTTTAATGTTAAGACATCATGAATTGTTTTGTGTCACAAAACTGTACGTATTATTTTAACTTTTTAAATGGGAAAAATAAAATACTTTGGGGTGGACTTCGATTCGAACTCAAGACTTCAGTCTAATAAATGCTCACTGAATCTGCTCCTCGAACAAGGACGTGCGGTTTCTGATACCATCTCCGCTCAAGGGGAAAAAAATTTAAAACATTAATTTCGAGATGCAATTTAGGAATAAAATTTCATTAGAAAAAAAAAAAAAAAACCCGAACAAGCAAACAATCAATTTCTTCATTCAAAATATTATAGTTATAATATTTCAATACTGCAAATAATTTAAATAATTTAATAGTTATTTTTTTTTGAAAATAACATAACTTAAGTTCGAATTGTATAATATATGAGTGAGGTGAGATAAAAAATAAAAAATAATTATTTT